GTGTTGGAAATGCTGCCTCTGTGGCAATGAGATGCCACTATAACATGGTATCCACCGTCTTGCCTTAAAGGACACAGTCATTAGAAAAAGTGCACTGAAAGATCCGAGTTTATACTATTCCTCAGGCATAAAACATGCAAGGAAAGGAGGCACATTAATGAGGGTTTCTGTCATCAAGCAGACTTCCATGAAGACATACTTCACCTGTCTGGTCCGGGTCTCAGTGCTGATTCCTTGGGAGCTGATTAGGATTCCACTGTTAGTTTTGAAGTAGCAGAGCATGAAGAGAGACTTTCAACTTGGGTACAGTTTTGTCCCCTCTGCTTTCCTTGCAAACGCCTCCAAGCCTTTATGAAAACAAATACTGGAGACAAGGGCCTTTGTCTCTGAGGAAAATTCCTTTTGCTAAGAAGATCATGTCTGTCAGCTCTTTTTGTTTTGGAAGGCTGATGCGAGTGATGAGTTATAAACTGCTGAGAGACGACACAGTAGCTCACCAAAATGTGAGTGTTCCTCATCTGCATCAAGGTAGAGACTGTAATTTTGTTCTATCTTGCTTCAAATGTTTTTGTGCTACTTGTATAGGCTAGACCTTTACGGAGGTTTTACTGTAACTGTGGGTCTATGTGTGGAGCTGTGAGCGACAGCCACTGGTCCTGTTGCTTATGTGTTGTTGGGAGCTGCTCATCATCTGCACCAGGATGATCTATGTGGAGTAGTAACTCATGTAGGATAGCCCTGAAAAACTGAAAGACCCACTATACTCTTCCCAAGAGAACAGTTCATGCTTTAAAATGGTCGGGGCTTGCAGGGGAGTCTGATTCCAGAAGAGCTCAGCCGAGTGCTGTGTGTGTCTGTGTGCACCGTACATTGCCCAGAGTAGAACCATCCCAAGCTATCTCTACTTGAGCTATATGAGGTAAATAGGTCACCTGGCAAATTTTTGCACTATCTCTGGTGAAGGAGCGGACATTGTTTTGCCAGTTTATTATCACTTCGAGTTTGGGTAACTGGTCCTGTGAGTTGGCTTCAGAGCACCAAGTTGGTCTCTGTGACAGTAGCTTTGTTTACACCAGCAAGTGCCTTGCTCAGCTGGATACTCTGGGCATCCTTTGGTAAGTCATAATGGTGGCATGAGCATTATCATCTGTAACAACACTGTGTTGTTTGTACTGTTACGGTGTCTTTAGTTCCTGGTAACAGCTTGGGGCTTTTGTGGGCCAGACTGCACAGACTGTTACAAGCATTATCAGAGATGTTCCTGTTTTTGTGGATGGCTCCTGCAGTCACCTGTCAGTGCTGCTTTAGGACCTTCACACTTCAAGAGTTTCTCAGTAACTTCTCAATGCACGTCATACAAACATATCTTGGAGAGGAGGCCGCCTTTTCTGGAGCTTAAAAAAATATATATAAAAAATTGTGCATGCCATCTTGACAGCTGAGCAGGTGTAGGCAAAGGGTTCTTCTAACCTGCAGCTTGAGGAGAATGCAGCCTCCTCTGGGGTTGGAAGGAAGGATCAGTGTCTCATTTGGAAGTCATCCTCTCACTAAAGGATCTCCTCTGAGAGCTTCCTTTCTGTCTTGTTTAAAGCCCTCATCTGAAGACCAGCATACCGATAGGTTCTGTCCTGTTTATTCAGATGGCATGAATCCAAATGACACAAAGAGAAAGGAAAATTAATGGAATAAAGAAAGCTTGTGGGAAGGAAACATGAACTTTGTGTGGTGTGCTAAAGAGGTATCAAATAGGAGTGTTAGAAAATGTTTGGTAGCATCTTTAGAAAGTCTTGCAGCCTGCAGAAACAGAAATGCGGGAATATTGCAGAAGAGGAATAACCCAGTGCTTGGAAGATGAGGGGTTTACTCTTTGCTGCAGACCTCCTGCCAGAGACAGTTTACCTCTTTAGCACCTTCGCTGCCCATTTGCAGAGCTGGCATCTCTTTCATGAGGAAGCTGAGGCTGGATGACGACAGATAGCTGTTAGCTGGAGGATCCACGTGCCTTTGAACTCTGCTTTCTTATCGCAGACTTTATAAGACGTGGCAAGTGTGACCCAATTCTGCTCTTGCACGGCTTTGTTACTGCGCAGACCCAGCCCTTGGAGGTGCCAGGGACTGGGTCACTGAAGTCATCCGGGTTAAAACAACTGTCTTGCCTCTCCCGTTTTATTTTTTTTTCCATTGGGCTACCCTTAGTGGTCTGCTTGCCAGCCTGTTCGTGTAAACCATCATCCTGGTGTTACATGGCTACTTGGCATAGCTGAAATGAGCGGTGGTTAAAAATGGAGTGAGAGTGGGCAGCGGATGTTTTCCTGTGTGGCTATTCCTTAGCCTGGCATTGTTGCCAAAGTCTTTGTAATGGGGAGTGGAGTTGCTTGCACAAAGGAGTATTTTGCTTCCCAGGGGGTTTCGCTAAATTCAGCTTCTGGATTAAAGTGCTAATTAACACAAAATAGTGCTTGATGCTTCACTGTAAGAGTGAGTAACGCTGTTGATAGTTGTGTGTAAGCATAATGTATGCTAATGAGACCCCTACCTTTGCAAAACAAAGCTGTTGATACTGTGTCTGTGTCCAGGCATTTTTCTGGGCTGGGAGTTTTCCTTTCCAATGATAACTCATTTTTTTTGTGAGATTTGCTTAGAACAGAAGGGTTTTTTTAACTCTTCAGTGGTTTCTTTTCCCCTGTGCATGAGCCGTTTTTTCAGTTCTTGAATTTTGATCAAGGCCTGCAGGCTACTTTTAGCTGGCTTTGGCTTGTTAGTTTACTTGGTTTTGGACTAAGTGTCATTTTTGTCTCATAAGAGGTGAAATGCCAAGGTGATGTCATTCCTACTTACAGTTGTTTGTGGATTAAACTATTTTTAGATATAATGAAGTTATTTGGGACGCTGGCAGAGAATAGTTTGATCCAGACCACTGAAATGGATGGGACTCTTCACTGAGAGCGAAGCGAAGCTTTGGGTCAAGCCCTAGGGTGCTATTCCACGTATGTGTGCACGCACACGCGCGTGTGCAACAGTGTTGGGCTGTGCCATGGAAACCAAATTTCATGGAAATCCCTGCCGGCTCTCGCAACTGAACGCGGGTGAATAAAAGCAGATGCCGTACAGACAGACGGGAGACGCGTTAGCAGCCCCCGAGGTGGCAGAGCAGTTGCCCTAACAGCCAGCAGCAGACGTTACCCAGGCCCCTGTGGCTGCTGCTGGAATTCGAGTAGGAATGTAGGTCTCCCAGCTGCCAAGGGCATCTTTTGCGTGGCCAAGGTGTCAGTCGCAGTGCTGGAGCAGGCAGGGGACTGATGAAAACGAAGACAATAGCAGCTGCAGGCAGGATTGCTGATGTGGTGCAGAAATTTCCCAGCTGTGCCGCTGCGCTCTTGTAATCGCATTAGAAAAGTCAAACTAATAAGCAGGCTATGAGGCCGCCTTTGCAGGGTGTGCTTGTGGATAGGCAGGCACATCACGCAGGCGTGTGAAGTCATCGCTGTGCCCAGTGAGGTCAAGGGGGAAGAGCTGGGCAGGTGCATTGGCAGAGCTGTGGGTGAGTTTGTGCAGTGCCTGCCAGTGCTGCTGACTATTTTCTGTGTGCACTCAAAGCGGCTTACTCTAATGAAACAAAGGCAAGAAATAATGGCAATGAGTGTGTGGCTTTTAAAGCACGCATTTGGCTTTTCTGGCAAATGCTTTAATTAAAATGATGATGTCTTTTGCCAGATCACTGAGCAATTAAACCCTAATCAAGCCCAGAGGAAAGTATTTCCATGGAATGTTTTCAGTGCGATTCCTGATTGAGATTGTGAGGAGGAGTATTATTTACAAAGATCTCATTAACAGCCGTTGTAAGGTTGCTTATGCCCCCATGGGAATGCAGACAAAACTCTCATGGCCTTCATTAGAAATCAAAGCCTTTCAATGCAAGGTAAATACGGTTTTGGGTGCACATTCTAACATTATACATGTTAGCTTAAAAGCAGCCTCTCTGGAAACCCTGTTGGAAATTCTTAGTTTTCCCAATGTGTAAGAGAAATCCATTTTCTCTAGATATTTTTAGTGCTAACTTCCTCTCAAGTGCTATTATCTTACGCTCTCTACCATTAGCGCTTGCTGTGTTTCCAGGTCAGTCATGTGATTGCTGAGCATCCCTGCCTGCTTTTTGAATGACTTGTCAGGCAGGAGCCAGACAGGCAAGTTGTTACTGCTGACTGCCGGCAGCTGCTTCTCCCTGCCTGGATCCCCACTGCTGAGCACCGAAGCCATTCTTGGAAGGTCACTGGGGTTTGGTTCAGTGAGACCCCCCTTAGCAGAGACCCTTCTCCACACAAGCCTCCCATGTAGATGCGAAAACGTACTACTCTGCAGAAAGCATGCCTGTGTGGGAACACACAACTACACTACTGAAAGGCGTTTCAGAGCTACACGCTGCTGTTTCTCACTGAGCCATGGCTATTTTAATATGAGCTGGTCCATACTTCTGCCCTTTTTTTTTTTTACCACTTGTTACATTTACAACCCAAATGAGCTTGCTGTGCTTCAGAAAATTGCAAGAAGTGAAAAGATTACAGCCCAAATCCCTTGGTGAGCTTAAATATGTCTCTCTTTCTGTGGCAAAGCACCCTAAGGCAAAGTATTTTAAAAACAGCAGTGCTGATAATGAGAGCTAATAACTTTCCAGATGTTTGCTGGTTTGCTACATATGACTTTTTAAAAAAGGTATTTAAACTGATCTTGCCAGTTGTTGTGGGTGCCCCTGTGTGTGTTTAATGAACAGCTGGCTCTTTTGAACTAGGAATTTTAATACTTTCAGTTCCATGAAACTGGAATCAGAGGAGGCGGCCGATTGTACAACAGAGGGAGCGCATTTTCTTGTGTGAATGCAGAAGCAGAGCGGGAGGGAGAGAGAGAAAAGCATTGTAACATTGCGTGTGTTTCAGTTTCAGTGGATCAAATCTTTCCTCTATCTGCATCCAAGCTATTTGGTTGTGATCAGATGATCAGAGCTGAAGGAAGCGATTGGAGAGCGAGCTGGCTGCAGCTGCACTGTAGGCTGTTTTCAGGGACAAGGAGCCACTGTTTTTCAAACATAGCATAAACATAGAAGTTATTTTGTAGGCTTCAGGATGCAGATATGGGTTGTGCTGCCAGCATTGTTCTGCTCCAAGCCTTTCGTTCTGTGGTACAGAGGAACTGTCCACATATCTGCAGGCGACGACGACGAGAGGAGTTGTCACATGAAATTCTGCCGCTGGATAGTGATGATGAAATGAGCAGACCCAGGACTCTCATCATAATGGTATGGTATACTTTAATTGGCAGAGGTGACAGAATTATTACTACAGATGTTATGTGATTTTTTTTTTTTTCCCCCCCCTTTAACTGTGTAATTGTAGAGAAAGAACAGGCTATTTGCAACTGTAAGTTAGTTTGCTGGTAGATTTGCTGTCTCTGTTGTCAAACGGAGCTGAAATGTTACTTTATAGCTGAAGCTGTTAGCTACGCATAAGCTCTACATAAGTAAATGTTCTGCTATTTAATTGTTGATGGGTTTTGTTGCTATTTGCGAGATAAGCAGCACTGGAGCCAGTAGCGTGGTTATGTTTTATTTCAGACTTGGAATTCTAAACAGCAGACAGCTTAGGTACTAAGTCTTTTCATCATAAAAACAAAAACAAACTGAAAGGCCAAACAAAACAAAAACCTTTTACTTTCACCCAGGATGCAGTTGGAATCTGTATCGTTATATGCAAATAAACTCTCATATATCTTTGCTGCAGACTGTTTGCAGCAGTAAAATATTTGCTGGATCGCTGCTTTCTGGTGTAGTGAGTTGCCTCCATTCTTTAATGAAGGGGGGCTTGAAAGGCTCTCGGTCTTCAAGAGTCCTTTTCTTTCTGAATTAAATTGGATTATTTTTATTTTGTGTTGAGAATGTAATAAGCATTATATGTTTATTAGGAATAAGTGGCAGAGTTGTTCCTCATTGTAAATCACTGTTTCAGAATGAGGCATACGGCTACTGCTTAGCTACTGCTCTTCCCTGCCAAATACACGTATGGTGAGCATTTCCAGAACCCTGGAGTGGTTTGGGTCTGAGGTGGCTATGATTTGGTACTCTGTGGCTCTCACTTGACAAAAAAATTACCGAGACATCGCAAACAGTGATTTTGTCAGCTTGTCAGGGCACTCGTGTATATCACTTGAGTGGTAGAGATTGGTGGGGTTTTTTGTATATAAAGTATGTTATGTTGGAGTCCCAGGTGCATCCCCCTGATACCTCACTGTATCACACAAGGCAATAACTTAGTTGTAAGTGGGTGATGGTAACATTAGAGAATTTAATAACTGTCCTGAGGTCTAGCAGTGGTTTGAGTAGAGCATTGCTGCCCGTAGAGAGGTGTGTGGTGCAGTCATGGCAACTATAATAGCTAGGACCCAATCCAAGCCATGGTTTTTGTATCAGCTGAGGGTATTAGCCAGTGCATGGAGTGAGGCTATGGTCACAAGGAGGAAGGGGGTGAATTTCATCATCGTGAAGTTAATGTTTAAGATTCTTCTGCTTTAAAATCCAGTATCTATAAAAACCTCTTTTTTTTTTCTTTTTTCTTCCACTTAATGGTTAAATAAACAACCTCAACAGCATTTAAGCAAATAACTGTCTCCTTCCTGGTATTAGTTTCAAGCATAATAAAGTGAGAAGGGTCTGGAAGAAATCACAGCATGTGTGAGTATGGATCATCTGTGCAACTTGGTAGAAAAGGGTAGTCTTGGGTGTCATGGGAGCAAAGAATGTACCAACTACCCCATACCCAGATGCAGTTATCAGCAGCTTGAGTTGCAGTTCTTTGTGCAGTAAATCGTGGAAGAGTGGGGCTCGGAGAGCTGCAGCACAAAGGTCCCTGGGTTCTCAGAAGTGAGGCTTCACCACAGCATGGAGGGACCTGTGGAAGCTGTCCACCACCCTGCAGAGCTGAGGATACCCAAAGGAGAGGCACGCTCGTCAGATGGTCTGTTACCTGCTGCTGGATGTGGGCTTTCAGGGACACCCCCCCGCCACGCTCAGACACATCCACCCGTCATAGTAATGGGGGCCTCATGTTTTCTACAGCAACAATTAATGCACTGGTGTTTGTTCTGTCAAAAGGCTGCCCTTCCCTGGGGAAGCCAGGACACCTGTGGGATCATTTTCTACCCTTGGTCCCTTTGAGAAGAGGAGGATGAGGGGTTCAGCCATGTCATAAGGCTGATGCAGGTGCAGGCAGGCGCTTTGGAGGAAAGCTGCAGGGCAGGCGACGACTTGGGAAAACCGTCTTCCCTCACACATCTTCTTTTCTCTTCTGGATGTGTATTATTACTGTGCCTTTTCATTTAGAAGCAGTTAATTACATAACTAAAATAATTTGCTGTTGAACTTCACAGTTAGGCTTAGTAATGATGTGGAGACCTGGCGAGTTGAGAAGAAATCACTGCTTCAGAGCACTTCTGCGGCAGAAATGGGTGGTCCTGTTTCCACTAGAATTCATGTTACTTGAAAGAGCAGCATGATAAAGAGGGCTGGCGGCTACTGGACCTTAATAACACATGTGTTATGGTTCTAACAGATTATGGTTTTTCCCCCTTGGTCTGTGTCATAAATCCAGAAGTTTATGTCTGGATAATACAGTAGAGGCAGCTACGTAGACAAGCAAAAGTGTTCAGTTCACAATGTCATTATGCACATTGTGCAGATGCCAGGAGCTAAACTGAGCCCAGTGAGGTTACTGAGTTTTCATGTCTGAGGGCAGTGAGTGATTGGGGTGCCCAAAGAAGAGAGGCAAGGAAATCCCAAAATGCAGAATACCTGAAATATGCTGACATGCCTGGGTGTGATCACCAGAGGCTGTGGGCTCCTGTCAGCTAAGATCTGGCATTTTATCTTTTCATGCCTTCAGATGAAATGGTCCTCCTCTTTGTAGTTTGTGTGCCACTGGCTATATGCTCCCTACTGAGAGGCTTAGTATTTGGTACTGATTTCGGTAGGCTTTCTTTTTGAATGGCTTTTTTAAGTCCCCAGGCTCTGCTGTGTGTTCTTGCAAGTTTGCCTCTCCTGTGTGAAGAAAAAGTAAAATCTCAGTGTTGCCCTTGATAGGGAAAGCAATTCTGAGGCAACAGAACAGCAGCCTACCCTAAAATAGTTGCAGTAAGTATACAGCTCTATAGATGTGCTTCATTTTCCGTTGCTAATCCCTGGAGGGGAACATCTTTGTAGGATGTTCTTCTCGGAATTGTGCCTTTGCCAGTGGCACTCCAAGCGGGAGGTGTTGTGGGTGTGCTCCTTGAGAAAAGAAAGGGAGAAGCCATGAGTACAACCTCCAGCTATTGCTTAACGGCCACCAGCTAATCACTGTATGAAACTTTTAGGCGTCACAGCAGGTATTTCTAGTGTGCTAGTCCTTGCAGAAAGTGAGGATTGATGTCTTTATTCACAAAAATTTTTTTCCCTCTTCAGTTTGTTAGTTTAGAAATATGTTTTTATCCTTGGGCAAGACAGATTAATAATCAGTGTTAGATCTTGGCTGGATCCACTGAGCAAGGAGAGTTGTCAGAAAGACAAAACTGGAAATTCTTTGTGTATGACTGTTGCGTGTCATCTTCTCTTGGACACAATCCTGGGAGTTGCCAGAGACGTGGAAAATAAGTATCCAAACAACCTCTAACTAGAGGTACAAGTTGAATTAATATGTTCAGTGACTCTGCATTTAATAGACCATCCTGTTGTTTTCTGTACCTTTAAGACTATGTCTGTAAGAGCTGGTTTTCAAAATAGGTCCCTGAGATGGCGAGGTTTGAAATACTAAAAAACTAGGTAGAGTGAATGCAAATAAGAGTACATGCTGTTTCTGCAAGAAAAAGGAGAAGAGGAAGATGGCTGAAGGAAGGAAATTTAGGATGCGGGGTTATGTGGAACTGTTTTGTGTTTGGAGTGGAGGCACTAATGTTTAGGGTGATGCTTTGTGTTTGGAACTTGGACTTGAAAAGAAGTTGAGCTTTACCTAGTAGGTCGTTCGTTGTTTTTTGATGTGATTTATTATGAACTGTGGCAGCTGAGATTTGTGTGGAAAATAAGAGCGAAGCATGATGTTTAAGGATATGATCTTCCTCTCCACCCTCCCGCCCTTGGTAACCAGCTACACAAAAAAACAGAGTAAAATGTTTTGCATTTTGAATAAAATAATGTAACTTGAACTGATGTGTTAGCTCGAACACAGCCAACAGCAAGGTGACAATACTACTCTCTCTATTCAGTTTTTTGTCTCTGAAAAGAGACAGCTTGCAGAGATTTTCTCTACTCTTTCCAGTTACAGAAGTAGTAAGAGAACTTCCCCTGTTGCAGGATGCTCTGCTCTGGCATACAGCTGGGTCTGGGGTGCTGCCGGAGCTGCTTCTCAGGTCACGTAGTTTGTAAACAGAGTTTTAGTCTTCTAAAAGCAGTAGAAACAATAAAAGCATGGCTTTGAGAATTTTTCCTCATGTAGTACTAAAGTTTACCTCCAGAATTGTGTTCCTTAAGTTTTGTTGCAGGATATGTGTTATTATGTTTCTAGTTGAAATAATTCAGTGCACTCATTTCCTCATTTGTATGCATTTACCTACTGATAATTTGTACCATATGCATACCAAGTGCTATCAATAGATGGCAACTCTTAAGAATTGCAAGATGTCTGACTCATGACTGGTTTTGTAGATGGGAATGTGTCTTTTTCCACTGAGCAAATCTTCTCCATCTGACTTTAGTACTCTAAGCAGTAACTTTTATATTTCTTTTACTTCTTGTTTGTGTTGCAGCAACATGTGTAGTATGACAGTATGTGGTATGACATGATTATGCATCTGTTAACCAAAGTCTTATGACAGCTTATGAAGAGTGTGGACTAAAAAAAATGAAGTGATGAAAACATCCTCCTACATAAGAGGAATTTATTACCTTCTTTTTATCAAAAAGAAAAAAAAAAAGAGAGAGAAGCAAGCGATTTATTTGTAAGCAAGAAATACCTGAAAGAGTAGGTTATAAATTAAAGGAATTTATAATTAAATTATATTTAATTATAGGGCACAGGAATTAAAGGGCACAGGAAAGTCTCTATAAGTAACAGTCCTTGGCAGTGCTTTGGGAAGGCTTTTGTTGACTGCATAAAATCACAAAATCACAATTTAAAAGATACGTGTTCAAAATGCTTCTTGGGAGAGAAGAAGGTTGACCTATGGAAAGGCAAAGCCACTTGCTTAAAACCAAGAAGACAAAGAGAAACACACACA